GGAAGCATTTTCTCTAAATTTAGCCCCAAAGAGTGCAGGATGAACGGAAAGTACCTACTCGTCCGTACGACTGGAGTGTATGTGCGACGGGGTAGAAAGAACGAAGGGCATTTTTTAATTGTTTGCCAACATATATAGTCCATACACGTATACGTACTTATGAGGGATTTGTTCGTATATTTGTTGTTTGTATACCGATTACCACTGCGTCAATAGAGGGAGAGAGAGAGGGTGTGTACCGTTTTCTCAAGAGGGTGGATGGGATTACATAATACACATGATTGTACGTTTATTCGAGTAATAACCCATACGGAGAAGGTCTGCTTACTGTCTAAGCTTAGTGCCGAGAGAGATAAGAGTCAGCGACGCCTTTCTCGAGAGTTTCAAAGGACTTTTCCCGGCTCCGGTGTACACGGTGTGCATATTACAAGGAGAAAGGGCAGATGTCGCGTCCTCGAACCACATCAAGTATAGGTGCAGATAACGAAGACGCTGCTGGATGAGAAAACCAAAAAAAAAAAATTAACACAAGAATTCTCACGGAAATCCGTTCGGGCGCTCCCTTCGGGAAGGAGGAATAAATTTTAAAAAATAATTGTTTTTTTTTTTTTTTTTTTTTCGGAGGAAGTGAAACTCCGGGGAGGAAAGGAAGGAAGGGAAGAAGCCCCTAAGCGCAGGAAAGGGAAAAAAAAGCGTCCTGTATATGCATATGTGTAATGTGCGTACACGCCCCCCCCCCCCCCCCCAAAAAAAAAAAAAAAGGAAGCGTCTGTATACTGTAGAGCCGAAAGAGAGAAGCAAATAAAAAAAAAAAAAAAAAAAAAAAAAAAAAAAAAAAACAGACTTATGATTTTTAGGGAGGGAAACGTAAAGGAAAAAAAAGACTCTCGCGTGAGAAAGCCGCGTTTAGTGGAGGAGTGTATAAGTATACTCGTGAAAAAGCGGCGTTGAAGTAAGTACCCAGAGATGCAAAAACCGCGATAAGAGAGTTAATTTTACACATAATTGTTTGTTCAACCAACGGGCCCAATAACAATATGAGTAGTTGCTTGTTTCGCCATAAAAAAATTATGCGAGATCGTAGAATAAACAAAGCAATGAAACAAGTCAGCTAAACAATACACTGTTCGTGCTGCTGCTGTGCTATCGTCAATTGTTTTCAACAAAGAAAGGAAAAAAAAACCTGTACGGATATTTCCTTCCGAAACGTCTTTTTCTTCCCGGCTTCGGCGATTCAACGACGGTTGAGAAAAAAAAAAAAAAAAGGACCATGCACAATATAAATGGTGCGGGTATAATATCGAAACCAAACCGCAATACGTGTATCGCCGGTAACCCGATAACGCAGTGTACATCGCGAGGCTTTCCGACTTCCTGAGTGTATAGCAACGGCAACTCGAGCTCTACAGCCGGATATATAACATATGTGTGTATGTACACTTGCGCGCTTGTAACGAAACCGCCGACGATTTAAAACCCCAAGAAGAAGAACACGTAATTCCCAATTAAGTCATTCTTTCATTCGACCGACCAAGCAACGGAGAGTATATTAATATGTGGATACAAATTGAACGTGGGCCGGCTCCTCGAGGTCAGTTTTAATCAAGTAACACACGTCCATTCACCGTTTTACGCGTTTTTCGGTACCATCCGCACAACATGTACAAGAATCCCGGGAATGAAAAACCCGTATGTATACATGTACTTTTATCATAAATAACAATAGTCACGTGTATAATTATACACGAGTACGATTTTTAAAATGATTCACGGCCGCATCGGCAGTGTATATAATGGGTTTTCGATCGCCTCTCAAAAAGAAGGAGGAGAGGGGGGGGTTTATCTCCGTCCCTCTCTGTTTTTTGGGGCACAATAGACGTGGGTGTCGAGAGCGCGATACGCGCGTATGAAAGTCGTCTCCGCGCGACATTTGTTCCATTAAAATCGAGTGTGGGGAGGCGATGGAGAACTATACTCCCGGGACGACGCGGAGCCCTTAAAAAGTCAGCCGGGGGAGACGGTGAAAAAACACGCGGCTGAAACCGCGGGGGACTATACCGCCTCCTCGAGATCTAAATATAAATCCCTCCTCCCCCTTCCCCCCGCCACCACCAACACCGTCCCTTCTTGTGGTTTTTTTTTTCTTACTTCTCCCTCGCTATCCCTCCTCCGACGTAGAGGGACAACACTGTTATTTTGTTGGCAATAAACGAAAAGTAAAGTTATCATTTGTTCGCAAAGTGCTTTATTTTTTTTTTTTTTTTTTTACTTTGTGTGCCCCTTCCCCTCGTATTGATCATAGTATATATAATAACACCACACGCGTAATATGTATCCCAAAGGGTATATCGGTGTGTAAAACCACCCACGCGCATCTGCATGCAAAATCCACCCTCTGCCATCCACAAATGGATAGAGAAAACGCCCTTTGAGAGCAATATCGTATATGTATGTAATGTATAAAAGAAGGGAATATATGCAAGTGAGCCCGCAATAACTATACAATATATAAAAGATGTGCAGGAGGGAGGGGGGGGGATAGAACTAATTTAAGAAGCCCGTGTATTTGTATGTATAAGCGCAAACGTTCGAGTTCGGTGGGTTTTCCACTCTCTGATGCGCTCGCTGTATAAATATATTGTATGGTCGTAAGGTACCGTCGTATAAGAAGAAGGTATACTAGCTCTCCTCAAGGCAACACAGAGAGAGAGAGAGAGAGAGCCAGCGGCGATTCGCGGTTTCCGGCCACGGCGCAAAGGAAGTATATATTTTAATGCGCACCGCCTGTTGTTTCTTCTCCACCTGCCCTCACCCGTTGTCTATATATTTATACAAGTAACACCTCACCTCGGCTTCTCTACATAATATATGTGTACCTACTTGGATTGCAGACTCGGGCTGCTCACGGAGGCTTGTTTCCGGAAGGGAAGAAAGGAAGATCGGAGAAGAAATTAAAAAAAAAAAAAAAAAAAAAATCATCAGGTGGCGTTATCAGCTGCTCTCGTACGCGTGGGTGTATGTACACCCACATATATGTATATATTTCAAACTAACCAGCTGATACGCAGCGCGAAAAAGGATGAGGTGTTCCTGCCCTGCACCCAAAAACCGGTTCCCCCTGCGTGTATATATACATACAAGTACACAGCACGTCAGAAGGAGCAACATAGGCATCAGGACACGAGGACACAAAGAAGGAGAGAAACTTGTTTAAGTACAATCTATACACATGCAAAGGTAAAAGGGAAAAGAGTTGTAACGCGTACATAATATGTATGTATATATACAAGAAGAGAACCATGACGTCACGAGTATATAGATATGTATATTGCGTTGTATGTAGCGGGTGGCGAGGAAGAAGAAGGACTTTGGTCCGGAGAGAAGGAGTCGAAGACCTCCTCGCTATATACACACGTGACCGTGGTCAGTGCCCATGCCTATATACATATATACACATCGGACTCCGCTCTCTCTCGGGCTATAACGGTTTGGTGTATACCTGCGCCTTACTTCCCTGTGTACACCGTTCGATCAAAGTTTATGTTTATAACATACAGTACTACCCCCCCCTCCCTCTCCTACCTTTAAATCCCTTCATCGCGAAAGCCTGTGTATATGTACCTTTTTCCCGCGGTCGGTTCTATATATATATATGTATTATATACTTATTGGATTTATGGAGTGGGTAAGTCGACAAGGATCGTTATTGCTTTCTAATACCTACACGAAACTGCCTACGGCGCGACGACTTTTGCGTTTTTTTTTTTTTGTTTTTTCCTCGGGTTAACGATGCGTGTAACGATGACAAACAATGACGTAGAGGGTTTGACTTTTTTTTTTCGATTCGATTGCCAACAGCATAAATAACCGGCACTTGGTGACATAAAGCTATACGGATATACCTATAGATGGGAGAAAGAGAGAGAGGGGGGGGTTTTTCCCGAGAGCGCTGCACAAACTTGCACGAAAGAAAGCAGGGGTGCGGTGCTTCAGGGGCAGCTGTAAACGGCAGCAAAAGTCCGGAGGAGGGTGATGTGTATGTAGGTACGACACAACACGTACCCCTTGTACAATATATCGAAGACTGCGCCAAAAGAGAGAGAGATCTGGCACGTCTCGACCGCGATACAGCACGCGGTTCCCTTCCGATGGTGCGACAAGCGATAACGGTGTTTCGTCTATACATGTACCAGAGAAAAATTTTGTTTAGCCGAGCAACGACAACAATCTCTCTCTCTCTCTTGTGTGAGCTCATCCGGAGCTTTTTAATTACCCCCTCCCTTAATTCCTTTGTTCGTGGGTTCAAAAGGGCGCCTCGGGAGAATTAAAAAGGGTCTCTCCACCCCCTCCAAGACGCTCCGAGTGTGTGTGGGTTGACCCTTTTTTTTTTTCCCCGTTGATAAAACGAAGGAACTCAAAAAAGGGCCATCCTCCTCCTTCCTCCGAAAAGAGCACGTATCGGATATGATGGTGAAGAAGAAAAAAAAAAAAGTAGGTCGTAGCTATAGTAGCGAGCGATGATTAACATCGGCAGAAAAGAAAAAAGAGGACTATACGCACCGTGTCACGCGAGCTCTCTCGAGTGCCGGGACGACGATTCGCGTAAAGCGAGTATAATATATTAAGTACGAGGGAAATCCTCACTCCGCGGTAATTTAGATCCGAGAGGATGATTGCGCACCTCCCACGCGCGCGTACTCGTTTTTTTTTTTTTTTTTTTTTTTTTTTTTTTGTGGGTTGTAACACTTTTTCCACCGAGACCTTCTCCTACTTTTTGTCTCCAACCAATTGGCGTCTCATGTGTGTGTGTGCGAATTGATACAGAGGAAAAAAAAAGAGAGAGCACCCTTCGATTTCTGTGGACGGGCACTTTTTTTTTTTTCTTCGTATAGCTTCCGCTTCGGAGGTCGGCGGAAGCGGAAGGGCTCTCTGCCTTATTGGCCCATATGCACGCGAGAGAGAGAAAAAAAAAAAAAAAAAAAAACAGAAACAATCCCTACCTAGACTACCGCCGAGTCCCATCTTCTTCTTGAGTTTCTTGAGCACCTTCATCTTGCCCTTGAGCGGCGAAAATATGTGCGTCTCGGCCGCGGGCTGATGATTGTTGTTCGGCGCAACCAGCACCTCCTGCACATTGTGACTGTGGTGATGGTGGTGGTGATGGTGGTGGTGGTGCTTGCCGCTCGGCTGCTGTTGCGCTTGATTGTGATGGACACTAGGTACCAATGGTTGTTGCTGCTGCTGCTGGTGCAAATTATGACCCAAGTGCCCGAGCTGCACCAACGAGCAACAGTGGCAGGGCGCGTGATGGTGCATTTTGTTGTTGTTTATACTGTTGTTGGTGTTGATGCTATTGTTGTTGTTATTGTTACTGCTTATCACCGAATTGTTGTGGTTATTATTGTTATTGCCACCGTGATGATGCTGCTGTTGTTGTTGTTGTTGTTGTTGTTGTTGCTGGTGGTGATGGTGATGACTGTGGTGGTGGTGATGGTGGCCGTTGTTGCCGCTACCACCGGCTTGTCTGACGACGCACTCGACCGAAGAGATGCCCATTTTAACGATACCGACACTATCACCGCCGCTTATCGCGTAAACCCTCGCCTCGTTGTTGTTCAGCGCCTGGTGGAGGCCGGCAGCGCTACGCCGATGCCTTCTACTGCCCTTTGGCTGCTGTTTCACCTTTTTCTCCTCAGACACCGGCTTCTTTTTCTTCTTCTTGATACGAAAACACGCGAGCAAACACATGAGAGCGAACCCTCGCCCGGTTCGAGGTGTTTTTTTTTTTTTTTTTTGTTTTCTCTTCGTTGATTCAAACTCCAATCATCGACTGCGAAACTCCGGTGCGGGGGTGATAACCGACACGGTACCAAAAAACGGGGAGGGGATAGGGGAGCAATAACGGAACAAGGGCCGAAGATGCGAGCGCGAAAGCGTTCGTAGCGAGACTGAGCTCCGAAAGTTGCGGCGGCCGAGTGTATCGGAGTCGGCGCTCGGGGCGCGCGCGAGCCACCGACCAATCAAAGCCAACGGGCTCCCCTACTCTTGTTCCACGTGTGCCGTCGTCGTCATGTGTGTGTGTGTGTGTGTGTGTACGGGGAGCCAGCTGACAAGAGAAAAGGAGCAGCCGGTTCGGAGTTACACGCAAGTAAGGTATTTTTTGGGAGGACGGGGAGAGAAAAAGACCCTCCACTCATTAATGTATAGGTATATATATATATATATAAACCACTACTTGCAGGCACGTCGCGAGTGGGGAGGAGTGGCGCGCGACTGCCGGGACAGATCAAAAGTATATAACGCATACACACGCACGTATGGTAGCCGTCGAAAGAGGGTGGCGGAGGGAAAATCGAGGGGAGTCGGTATATATAGGTTTTGTTTTTTATATTATAGTGCTTTACGTCCGGCTCCTATATAAAGGGCACTACTGAGGGCACTTAGCACTTGGGAGAAGGAAGGGAAGAGGGATGAGGGAGGCCTCCCATTACAAAGAGGGGGGTAAGGAGAAATTAGGAAATTTTGCTACAAGAAGGTCACCGAAACCCTCCTCGAGGAGCATTGCATGGTGAAAAAGCACATGTGAAAAATTACAGAGGTACTTTCCCGAAAAAGTCGCACTATGGCCGGGAATCGAACCACGGTCTCCCGCGTGCCAATCCACGACCTAGCTGACTAAGCCACCGCGCGCTCGTATAATTATATAGGTGTATAACGTTAGGGCACCTGGTGTGTGCGGGACAGCTGCGCCCCTTGCCGTATAACATAATACCTGTACACGTATAGGTGTATAAGGTTTGTTGTACACCGGGCCCTCTCTCTCTCGCTTCATCGTGGCTGTGGATCGTGATACGTGTGTATATAATTCTCAACCCCCTATACAATAATACATATATATGTATATACGTATGTACCTCCAATGCACTTCTCTCTCTCTGTCTCTCTGCTCCCCTCTTTGCAGCGAGATGCGTTGCCAACCCAGAAAAGAGAAGCCGATTATTGTAACGCCATGTGTGTGTGTGTACGTGAGAGACAGAGCTTTTGATTTTGCTTTGTTTTTATTATTAAAACTTGTCCGTTTTCACGGAGGGTATCTTCCCCCCCCCCTCCCGTTAACCAACTCTAGAGTGTGCGTGTGTGGTATCGAATCGAGACAATCACTTCGAAGGCAAATGTAAAAGTTATTTTGTCCCTGCACGAATTCGTTTTCAAATCCAGAGACACGCGTTATACTTACGTTATGCAATAGGTGTACAGATATGTACGAGCGCGCATCGGTATCATCTCGAGTGTCCATGGGATCGCGCATCCAGCCCATCTCCCACAGGGAGAAACAGCATCCACGTAACACACACCGCGCGTATATATGTATGTACCCTATACACCTCTGTTACACGTATGGCAAAAAAACCTATACGTATCGGTTGGAGCCTGTGCTAATACACATATTTATACACAGGAGCAAGGTTATTCAAGCGCCACTTGTGATACCTATACACGCGCGAATAACTATACGCTCGCCGAAACCCCCCCCCCCCTCGATAATGAAAATACACTTGTCGCGCGCAATTTTCGCACATGTCGGCTATACAATAAAAAACCCCTCCGGATGACTGGCCAACTTTAAACGAAAAATTCGCCTAACGCCCCAACCTGATCTACAATGTATGGAGTCGAGGGGGTGAGCACCCCCCTCTGAACATATCCCTTTTGATGAATCGCGCAGGTGTTGTTATCGTCGGTGCTTTTTTTTTTTTTTACATTTGGCAGCTCGTTGATCTTTTGGACATCGTCAACGGGGGGACGATCTTTTTATGCCCCTTTTTATTAAAGGGGGGGGGCATTTAGGGGATGATTGGGCAAACGAGTTGCCACGCGAAATCGTTTTTCAACGATCGTGGACCGGAAAAAGGTTTGTGAGGAAATGTACATATGGTTTAAAAGTCATCGGCACGCAATATCGGGCGTTACAGCGTATATACACACACACACAGAGAGGGACCGAACGGAAAAGGAAACGAGTTTGCCTTTCGCGTGTATATATATTTACGCCCAAAATCACGCCTCGGACCCTCTCACGTTCCCGTGTCGGATTTTCCATCTCTTTCCCTCCGCTACTTGCGCTTTTCTAAACTATGCGTGTTTTCGAAGAGTTTTCCTTCTTCGGACACGAGCACGCAGGAAAAGGGAATCGACTTTCCCTTCTGGATGGCGTCACCTGATATACATGTATAGTGTATTTGCACTTTCGACCCTCGGAGCTAATGGGTACAATGTATACCTACATTCTTCAAGGTGATGGAGAAGGACCTAATGCATGTATACACTCTCTCTCTCTACGCATACTCCGTATAATATATTACAGGTTACATATGTATGTTTTACTCTTTGGACAAACGAGCGGATCAACAAATTGAAAGGTACACACGTATACATGTACCATCAGGTATTTGCAGGGAGCCACAAAAATCAAGAAGAGGGAAAAAAGTCTTACTTGTCTTGGCGGGGCTGTTCTCGGCCCGTGTTTTCTTGTCGCCTCGTTGCTGGTGCGGCTTACTTAGCCTCTTGCTCGCGGGATTGCGTTTGCCACCTCCTCGCGTCCTTGCCATCGTTACCTATATACGTAATATTCAGGGGTAATATGCTACTCTGTCCGGGCACAGTTCTCGACTACACTGGATGGAGATCGCGAAAAATATACCAAACCTGCCCCCCCCCCTACCCTTGGGACGTTGACAACGGTGTATAGCCCGGGCTTTTTTTTTTTTTTTTCGTGCGCCGTGTCTTTCAACGGTTTTTCTTTGCCCCTCTTCCAAGGGGAGGACCCATGAGCCCCGTGCGGCGCGCACAATAGGCGGTATATATAAATATATGTACATGGTAGCGACCTCCCGAGCCAAGACGGCGAGGAGACGAGAATCGCACGGAAGAGCGCCAAATACGAGTTTGGAGCAATCAGGGAGGGGGGGGGGGCACGTAATCGGAAATTTCAATCTCCGCGTGTTTGTTAAGGTTATCAATCCGGGGTTTTTGGTGCGCGACATAATGTGTGGGTAAGACAAAGAGAGAGAGGCTCTAACAAGATTCGCTATCGCCGCGGTAAAACCGTCGCGACTTTGACGGCTGTAGGTCGTTTTGGGTGTGTGTGTGTGTGTGCTTTAGATTTTTATGAGGTGGTGAATTTTTTTTTTTGTTTTTTTTCCTTCAGAGTAAAAAATGTATGTACTTTCCGGGTGAGGTGACGACAGTCGGCGATGACCAACTGTGTGTTTTTCGATTGGAAACAATAAATGGGAAATAAAACAAAAAAGATGCAGATTTATTTCAAAGGTTATTCACACGAGCAAAAGGTTGAGCAGACCAACGACCGCCAATGTGATTCGGTGCACTGGGAAACAAAATTTTTTTTTTTTAGAATCAAAAAAAATTAATATATTTACTAGATTGGGTCCAAATAAATCATCCCTTGAAATGAGAGACTGTATTTTTTTTTTTTCTTTACGGAAGGATATTTGTTTGGACCAAGACAATACATTCCTTTGATGTATTTTGAGAAAAAATTTACTTGGTGCTGTTCTTTATAAGAAATTTACGTTCAATGCAGCTACTGATAATTTTTATTCCATAGTCACGAAGAAGATTAAGAGGTTCATCGTGATGTTTTGTTCATTACAGACATATGACACCCTTTTTTTTATCACTACAAATAACACAACTAACAATTTCAGAAGATCTAGGCTTTTAAGAAATTAAATCTTACATAATTGATGCAGATAATGACGGTGTAACGTGAAAAAAGAAAACAAGTGCGATTCGACGTACACTTTGATAGGTTAAAAAATACAAAGTAAAATGTTGAAAGAACGAAATCTTTGGCGCCGTTCTAATAGAGCAACCTTAAAAAATTATTATCGATCGAAGCACGTAATTAAAATAAATTACAACTGTGCAAAAAAAAAAAAAAAAGAGAAAACTCTCACGTACCCCTATATACATATAGGTATAATTATAGCGGTTTTTCTATTTCCGATGATCGATCGTCGCATCAAGAGAAGAAAAAAAAAAGTCATTTCGCACACGTGTGTATGTATAACGCGAGTGTAAGCCACCGCAGAGAAACAAACCGCTGCATAATGCATAAAAGACACAAGCAACCGGCACTTGAATATTCGCCAGCCTTGGTATAATACATATATATAGGGACAACGTCTGGAGCGTCATGTGCATCGCACTGCACTCTCTCTCTATCTCTCTCTGCACATGCAAGAAAAAAGTATATAATATGGTTGAACGGCCCGAAGAAAGAGAAAACGGTGAATGAGCGAGTTCCGTTTCGTTCGGAGTACAAGTGTGGTACCTATAGGTATAGCTCACTGAATGAGGAGAGCCCGGTATACAATATAATATATGTATGCGCTCTGATGACGGTGCATATACGCCAACGGCGGGGCCATCGCGCACGAATCGCGAATATTACAGCATGTGTTTCGATGAAAAAAAAAAAAAAAAAAAAAGTATCCAATAGTTTATAGTGTCAATACACGCAACGAGAGGAGCGATTTCGCGAAATGCGAGTATAAAGTGGCCACATATATAGGTATTATGGCGAAGGAAACGGAGACACGGCTGGCTTGGTCTCTTCTCGTCCTTGGTGAGCGCGCGGGTGGATATAGGTGAATTTGCCGGGTTGCGCGAGAGGGAAATGGTGTACAATACAATCCGGAGCAATGATGCACGCGTCCGTAAAAGACGACGTTGCTACACTGGTGTATGCATGCACTGATGTGGCTATACATACCACTGCGCAACGCATATATATCTCTACCAGGCTATATTATTCGTATTATTATCATCATCATTATTGTATAGCTGCAAGAATCTCTCTCGATGCACTTACTTTCTCTTAACTGCGTGCAGGTGTATTGTAA